AGCGTGAGATATACCCGTTTTACTGAGACCATGTATGAGTTATATTCCAGTTTTATGCTAGCACCTATGTTCCGAATGTTTACTGATTTGTCACCTGCTAGACGACTCTATTTGCATTTGAGTTCTTCATAAGAACTGTAGCCGCATGTCTTAGGATTTATATTCAACAAGAATCATGCTTATACAACTTATGTAGTGCAAGTTATATTTGATTAAAGAATGTTGCGCCTGTACCATTTTGTTAAACTTGTGTTATGACTTATGTTGGACTGAATTAGGTTGGTATGGACCCTAGATGATTAGAGTGAGTTATATTAAGATAGAGAAATTTTACGCTAAGATTTTAAAGTGTGAAACTATACACAGTAAATGTGAATTGAACTCGTTTAGGACTGCCAACACGATTAGCTACCAGAGAAAGAGCTGACGTGACGGCCGACACTGTTAGATAGAAGAGTCAAACAAACGAACCATTCCATTGTTTGGAAATCACCGCTGAGTTAAGATCATACCTGGGGGCGCGATATTCGATCTCTTTGGGAATAAGTTATAATAATGGGGCCCTTGAAATACTTCATTAGGTTATAATAAGAAGAAAAGTGTAACCCCCTCTTTTCATGAGATCAATTTTATCTTCGTTACGGAATAATAATAATAAAAATAATAATAATAATAATAATAATAATAATAATAATAATAATAATAATAATAATAATACAGTTTCATGGTTTTTTGGAAGTTCTTAAATCCCAAAATCCTCAATTCAAATTCAAGTTTGAAACCAATCAATCAAGATGAATCCACCAGGCAAGCTTCCACTATTCGGTTTGATTCTAAATTTTTCGATATGAACGCTCCTGAGTATAGCGGTTTTGCATAAGATTAAACTCATCTGATTGGTTTTGTTCAGTTCCGTCAGGTGCAGATTTTGTTTTGTCCTATGCGATTTTTTTTGAGTCAAAATTCGAATCGAAATCACTCCCAACAAAAATATAACCGTTGACCGTTTGAATTTCTCCGAAAACGAAAAAAATAATTGGTACGGTTCTGGAGATTTCACAAATATTCGTACCAAGAATCACGTTGAATCGTCATATACCATACCAAACCAAAGAACCGAACTAAGACCCGAATTATAACATTAGATGTGTGATATTAATATATTTTATGTCCACTTTGATCCTATATAATTAGAGAATTTTTAAAATGCAAATAAAATATAGTAATAACACATAAACTTAACTTCAATTTATACTTAGTAATACTTGATCCACAATTGAATTTTTCCTTTTATAAAAAAATATTTCAAATTGTATGAAAGGTTTAAAACTATTTTTTTTAAAAAAATTATATTATATTATTTTTAAATTTTAAATTTTTAATATTAGTTGCACGAATTTAGTTTTAACTAAAATTTAGAGTCACTTCTAATGTTGATTTCAAAATAAAATATTAAATACGAGGAAGTATTGGTGAATGTTGTTTCTTTTAAAGAATGTTAAAATTACAGTGCTGTGGAGCCATCCGATTGTTTCTTATGAAGTCATCCATTACTTAATATATCGATATTTGTCCATAGTGTATTTATTGTTGGACACGTACGTATCAATACACTATTTAATAATAAATGTAGATGACTCAATAAGTCGTGTTATCTGATTACTCCATAGCAAAATTGATAAAAATTATAAAACTAAACTTTAGAGTTACTTCTAAAATTAATTTCGAAATAAAATATTCAATATGATGAAGTATTGATGAAAGTAGTTTTACAAAACATACAAAAACTATAATATAACAAGGTAATCATTCAAAAAAAATGAGATTTTTGAAGATCCGAACCGAATCCTACCGAATCAAATTGTTCCAATAGTCTCGAATATCGAACTGAACCGCACCGAAAAATAAAAATCTCCAAACAGAACCGTCTCAATTTTTTGATACGGTTCTAGATATCGGTTCCAAAGATTTTTCAAACTCCGAACCGTACCGACCTATGCTCACCAACCAATTAGTGCCAAACTCAAAATGATAGTATTTGTTTAAACTATCATTATCGGCGACCCAATAGGTTGGGTCACCAGCATAAAGAAAAAATAAATAAATAAAAAAGGAAAATGACAGCCATTATCGCGACCCAAGTCACATTGTGAGCTTGGTCGCAACCGGTCATGCATTTTTATTTATTTATTTATTTTGCAAAAGTTGCATGCTTTTTGCATAAGGGATGAGAGGAATGGGACGTCATTGTAAAATTTAAATGATAAGATAAGATAACTCAAATTATTGATATTATTTTATATTTTAAAAAATAAAAATATCAAAATTCGTATTTTTTCATTCTCTATATAGAGACGACTCTTGATATATTTCAGAATACATTTGAAATTTCTCTCTTTTCACCATTTTCTTAATCAACCTTATTAATTTTATCATCTCTCTTATTTTTTCTAATCTCCAACGAATACCATATGGGTCCAAATTTTGAGTATTACCTCAATTCTAAAAACTTTTTGAATTCTGAAAATTTTCAGAATTTCGATATTATTCACAAGAGTCATTTTCTTCGAATTTTTCCCAATTTCTAGATTTTGTGAATGCTCAACCCCCACAAAACAACTCTCCAAATCTATTTCAAAATGTGCAACAGACACACAAATTCTCAAAAAGGAACGAAAAATGTTAGTTGGAGTGTGGCGGAAGATCTTGATCTAATGTCAGCTTGGTGTTTTGTTAGCGAAGACAAAATGTATGGCAAGAATCAGAAGGGTTTCTTCATTACGGACACACATAGCAAGTACGCTTGAACAATATCGATTAGAAAATCCAGAAGAAATTTGTGAAAGAAACTTGAATTCAATGAAATAAACGTCTTAATGAAAATGTAAACAAGTGGAGATGTGAATACATGGAAGCGTACAAAAATAAAAGGAGTGGAATAAGCATGAAAGATGTTGAAAAATTAGCTCATATAATTTATGAAGTTGGTAGTAGCAAGTTTACAGACTTGCATGTGCTTGAAGAAGTAGTGCGAAAGCATTCCAAATGAGAATTAAAATTAGATCGTGATTCAACTCGTTCACGTCCTGAAGATGAAGTGAGTAATGAAGAAAACAATGACAATTCCAAAAGATTAAGGACTACTAAAGATAGAGATTATTTAATTCTCTCAAATCCAGAAACTCGAGTTAGTGATGATTTTGTGATTTCCCGTCTCAAAGGTAGAGATAAGGCGAAAAGTAAAGGAAAAAAAAATAGCATCACAATCTTCTTCTATTCTTGATGAAGTGAGTAATGAAGAAAGCAATGGCAGTTTCAAAAGATCAAGGACTACTGAAGATGGAGATTATTTAGTTCCCTCAAATACAGAAACTCCAGTTAATGATGGTTTTGCGATTCTCCGTCTCAAAGGTAGAGATAAGGCAAAAAATAAAAGAAAAAAGGTAGCATCACAATCTTCTTCCATTCTGATGAGTTCATTGCAGAAATTCGTGCACTAAGACTCATAAGAAATAATGAATATGATTTAATGACCAAAATATCGAACAATAAGTTGGAGTTGGAGCGCAAAAAATAAGAAAGACAGATTAAGAAAATGAATATGAAGATGTTGAATGCGTTTTTGGCAAAAGACCAATTATCGCCGGAAGATGAAGAGATTTAACAACAATTATATTTGAAAATTTGCTGTAATTTCATCTGAAATGTTTGTAACTTGTTTTTCTTTTGTACCGAATTATGTATTTTTAATTTTTAATTTTGTTGGTAATCTTTTTTATTTTTAGTTGTATTTTAAAATATTAGTTTTTTGAAATTATTAGAATTTTATTATAGATTTTTTAATTAATTTATCGCAACTAAAACAATACAAAATATTTAATATAGATAATATTTAATAAATAAATAAATAAAAATAAAAATAAATATTATATTAGATTGAGTTGAGTTGGGAATAAAGATATATATAGATTGTTAAAAATTAGGTTGTATAGATGAAGGAGAGAGAACTAATTTTTTATTATTGAGTTGAGATTGAGTTGTGTTGAGTCATGAATAAATATAGTCTTAGTGGAAATGAAAAACCCATACCCAACCCGACCCGACCCGACCCCACTGTAATCCACTTTCCATGTACGTCCCCAATCAGGCGGCGGTCATCAAACACAAACTACCCTTACTACTGCTATATATCCCACTTTTCATCCGTGCCCACACCGCCTCCCATAAACACAATCACACCATTTCTTCTACTTCACAATCCACATTTAACAACACCTCTATTCATTTCTACAATAACACCTATATAAGTTTAGATAAAGATTTATTTTTAACATATATAAATTTATTAAATTCTCTGTCCAATGTTTTAAGTACTATATCATGGAGGTCGATAATAATGTTAATACAAAACATCGGTGATCCGACAGTACGAGATCCATTTAAATATGTTTCCTTTAAATATCACAATATACCTGTTTCATATCAGAAACCGGCTTGAATACCAGTTAAAATGTTGGATAATAATGTAACATAATATTTATTTTAGTATTTTTATCATTTTGTCAAGTTTTTTTTTTTTTTTTACTACATAAATATAAATCATTATACTTATTTGTAGTAATATTTTTACTTGTCCCACATTGTTAAGCTGAATAATATAATGAACAAAATACTTGGACCCCTATTGGCCTTCCCCTCCCTCCAAAATCAGTCAAAGCACAAGCCAGTCAAAGACCCCCTCCCTTCATCCGAATCCCAATCACATCACTCCACGTGGCAGACCCTTATTGGCCCTCCTCTCAGAATCCAATGACAATGTTTTCCCCTATAAATAAAGAGTACCAAAAGGAAGGCATGTCGTTCTTGATCCTCGCCACCTCCCCCTCACAATTCTTTACTCCAAAAACTAAATATATAATAATAATAATAATAATAATAATAATAATATAATAATAATATAATAATAATAATAATAATTAAAAAAAAGACAAATAGTAGAAATGGCGCCAAATCGCCGCCACCTCCCGTCATTTACATTCATGGCCACCACCACCGCCGTCCTCCTCCTCCTCTTACCTTCCTACGCCTCCGCCGGACACGACTACCATGACGCCCTCCGCAAGAGCATCCTCTTCTTCGAGGGCCAGCGCTCCGGCCGCCTCCCGCCCGACCAACGCCTCCGCTGGCGCCGTGACTCCGCCCTCCACGACGGCGCCTCCGCGGGGGTAAGGTCTCGTCTTACTTCATTTTATTTTATTTCATATTCTCACTCATTGTGTGAGTGTGTGGGCGTGTGTGTAGGTGGACCTGAGCGGAGGCTACTACGACGCCGGGGACAACGTGAAGTTCGGTTTTCCGATGGCGTTCACAGCCACATTGCTGTCGTGGAGCATCATCGACTTCGGGCGGAGCATGGGCGGCGGCGAGCTCGGGAACGCCGTGAGGGCCTTGAAGTGGGGCACCGACTATCTCCTCAAGGCCACCGCCCACGACGGCGTGGTGTTCGTGCAGGTCGGGGATCCTCTCTCCGACCACAACTGCTGGGAGAGGCCCGAGGACATGGACACCCCGAGGACGGCATACAAGATCGACGCCGCCCACCCCGGTTCCGACGTCGCCGGAGAAACCGCCGCCGCGCTCGCCGCCGCCTCCATCGTCTTCCGGTCACGCGACCCGGCCTACTCCAGGCTGCTGCTCAATCGTGCCGTTAAAGTCAGTCTCCTTTTTGTTTACTTCGCTTTCACATTGTTAGATTTTGTGTGCTGATACAATTAATTAATGCATTATTATTAAATTTGTATTATTATTATTACTATTATTACTGTTATTATTATTATTATTTTTTTAATTATTTTTATTATTATTACATATGCATCGGCTTGCTTAATTGGCATCACGTGACTGGTCAGCGAGCATACAGAATATTGCAGTGACATTATTTTCATTTTTCACTCTTTTGTTTTTTTTGTTTTTTTTATTTTTTTCTTTTTTTCTTCATTATTACCGTTATTATGTTTCCATTAATTATGTTATTTATTATTATACACACGCCTTCGTGTTTTTCAATAACTTCTTATGTGAAAGGTGTAAAAAACGTCAACTGCATTTATATTTTACCACTGAGAATTGTTGGTTTTTGTGTCGTGTATACCAAAAATAAGTGACATTAAATGAATAAACTGCGGGTCATATTTCCATATCACATTAAAGATGTTACTGTTTATTAAATACTAGCTTTTTTAATAGTTCACATATTCTTAATAATCATTTTGTTATAAAAATATCAATTTTTTTTTTTTTTGGTACAAAAAAAGGTTTCCACAAACTTACGTTAGAACTCGTCGGGATACGACACCCCAATGTTAAAAAAATATCAAATTAACCCGACTAATTGGTTAAATAATTATCATTATTAGTAATCAATTTGGTGATTATAAATTATTTGAAAGGCACAAATTACAAGGAATTGACTGTTGTGGGGGTGAAAATGGCGTTACTTTTAGGTATTCGAGTTTGCTGACAGGCACCGTGGCGCCTATAGTGCCAGCCTACGCCATGCCGTCTGCCCTTTTTACTGTGATATCAATGGTTACCAGGTATTTCACTATTTATTTATTTTATGTAAGCTGAAAATTAGACACAGAGTTAATATTAATTACATAGACTATATATATATAGGTAAATGTTATGGTCTCGTTACCGTATCATCTCGTTGAATGTTTTAACCATTAAATCATCTATCTTATACTAACTATATGTGTACTACGGTTAAAACACCCACGAAATGAGACCGTAACATTTTTCTATAATGTATCTCTTAAATACGAAAGTAATTAATGAATATATAGTAATTTGAAAAGTTGTGTGTGTAGGATGAATTGCTGTGGGGTGCGGCGTGGCTGCACAAGGCGTCTCGTAGGCGAGAGTACAGAGAATACATAGTGAGAAACGAGGTCGTTTTACGGGCGGGAGATACGATTAATGAGTTCGGATGGGACAACAAACACGCCGGGATTAATGTTCTTCTTTCCAAGGTTTAGTTTGTCCCTTTTAAATTATTATTTTTGCTATGAATCTAACAATTGACTCTATATTGTAGTAAACTTTCTATATACAACAATTAAATCATACTATATTTTCTGATCACTTAAATAATACTAATAATTTTATTAGTATGATATAATTTACTTGTTGTATATAGAAGGTTGAATCTACTATGTAGCCAATTGTTGGTTACATAGCGAAATTGATTAAATTTAATTATATATATTCCATTAATTATTGTTACAATTGTTAATTTCTATTTTCTATTATTCACTAATCCGTGAATTCTCCCGCGCTTTTCCATGCATTAACTAATTAATATGCCTTTAATCTTCTCATCATCATCACGTGATGTGCGTGCTTCTATTTACATTAATATCCCTCAATCGATCTACTTCAGTCCGACTTATTATTCTCTTGTCTTATTAACAATTACATTAATTTCGTGATATTCATTCCTTTATGTTTGGACAAATTATTGATCACGAAAGAACCATATGGTTGCTAATAATCACAAACAAAGTAAGGGGAATTGCTACGGTTTCGTTACAAACTATAAGTCGGGATTTGTAGTCGTTTTTAGATCAACTATTCCCGACGGTTACTTGATGAACGAACGATTACAAATCACGGCGTAATAGTTTCGTAACGAGACCGTAACATTTTCCTAAATAATAAATAAATATAGAGAAATGGGGGTGTAGATATATATGTATTGTTGTATGTATAGGCAAGTGATTTTGCTGGCACATCATCATCACAAGCATGTGCATAAAGATGGGAGAAAAGGACAGCTTTATTATTATTATTATTATTATTATTATTATTATTATTATTATTATTATTATTATTATTATATTATTATTATTATTTTTATTATTTCAATACATCAACGGCTCTATATATATATCTGCTCAAATCAATTTCTTGTGCTGCAAAAAGTTGAACTTGTGACTTTCCACTTCCCCTCATTGGTCTATTCTCATCTCCTTAGATTTAGGACAACATTTGCTTGTCCTGTTATCCTCGTGACTTCACACTTGTACATTTATCTTTTGTTGCAATTCCATATTCCTATATACTATATGTTGAAAAATAACTATAAAAAATAACAGATTAGTCGGGCAACGCTCCGGGGTATCCGCTGGCTATAAAAAAAAAAAAAAAA